TTTCTCAGAGACAATGTTGAAAAGGGGCTCATTTGCCTAAACTTCTGCAGCACAGAAGATCGGATTGCAAACATATTTACCAAGGCCTTGAGTAGAGAACATTTTGAAAGAAATTTCCTGGCATTGGGTTGATAAAGCCCAACTGAGAACCTGGTCCGTCGATGATTGGCTATGAAAGAAATGTTTAGGTAAATTAGTTAAAAGTGTTTTCTGGCAAAGTCTAACTTATCTCTATACCATTACGGGTATACACGCATGATGATTACAGAGCAAATAGGCAGTTGATGCAGTACGCGCTGGTAAAAAGGGCAAATCTTATAGATGCAGGATTAGTCAGGGAACCTGGTTCTCATGACACAGGTTAGTAGTTTCTTTGTTCTCTCATGCACAATTTTGAACGGTTAAAATAATTTCCATGTCATCAGTGTGTCATTCTCTTTTCTTTGCGTCTTGTGAACCCAAATATCTCACCCGATAGAAGTCGAGCCGACTCCCAAAACTTCTGCCTTTTCTTAACTGGTCCCTCATCAATCTTAAATACATCCATCACTATCACAACTCCTCACATCAAACGTTAAAATTTTCCTTCTTCTTTCTCTCTTTCAGAATATCCATATCTTCTCCTCAATTTATAACTTCTCTCCATGGCTGAAAATTACGAAACCTCAAGTGTTCCAAGTGACACCCTCATTGAGTCCTCAGCCATTCAACCACCTATTTTAGACTCCTCCCTCAATACCACCGCTAGCCAAAACCCTAGGGAAGAGTCACTCCCACACTCTGTCTCCTCTTCTACCCAATCGAGTTCTGGTTCTCATAAGAGTCGCCAAATCACAACTCCTAAAAGATTTGTAGTTGCAAGTTCTCCTCCTGCCTCACCGGAAAAACTGGGAGAAAAGGGGGTCATGTTGATGAAGAAGAGAATCAGGAAATCTCTAGTCTTCTTTTGGATGAAGGCTCAAATGTAGATCCAACTGCTGGTTCTGAGAATGCTTCAGTTCCCAATCTTGAGCCTACAGGTACAACTTCTTCTTCTTTTGCGATTTTAATGGAGTTACAAGAGAAAGAAGCAGACAACATGCTATCTATAGCTAATGAAGAGGTTGTTACAGAAAGAAATGCGGATGGGTCTGAGGCTTAGGGGGAAGAGTCTAAGACTGTAGTAGAGGGTAGAGAGTTTGTGCCTGTTGAACAGTCGGCACATGACAATACTACTGGGGTCCCAAATGAGGGACCTTATCCCTCCTCAGAGGATCCAACTCAGGGGTCCTCTCAAGAGCCTCAGGTCAGTATTGATCTTGTTCCCTCCCCTCATTTTGATGTTGAGTCTTTGTTTGTGGTTGTGCTTGAGATGAGATTTGAGTCTGAAGAAGTAGTTGGGGAAAGTGAAGAGGATTCTGATGATATGCCAATTGCTAGCTTGACTGGGTGTAGACCAATGATTGCTCAAGAGTCTACTCCTAAGCGACTCACTACAAGGTTGCAAAGGAAGGAGGCTCTTGAGTCTGCATTTAAGAACAGCCAAACTAAGTCAAGGAGAAGAAAATTAGTGAAAGATGGGAAAGTTGTGAGCGAGAAGACAATGCTAGTGGTGAATGTGGATAATGAAGTAGAAGAGGGACCTGGTTCCTTGACTAGAAAGTGCTCACAGAAGCATGGTCTCCCCAAGCCTAAAAGGGGATCTTCTGTGTCTGCTGAAAGTCTGAACAAGTCTGATAATGTTGTCGCTAGTGCAAATATGGTGAAATAATATGGTGATAAGTTGGTAGAAGAGTCTGCTGCCAGGGCGATGGAAGAATTGGGTGAAAAGTATGTGAAGTCTGATGAAAAAGGAAAGAATGTTCACAAGTCTGCTAAGAGAAAAGCTGATACTGATGAGGAACCTGGTTCCTCAAAAGGGCCAAAGTTGGTGATTTAAGGAATGCTGAAAAAGAGAAGTTGAGGAATCAAAAGGTGCTATGGGGCCACACATTTGCCCCTAACATTTTGGAGGAGGCTGGTATGAGACAGCTGGTTGAAATTTGTGAGTTTCAATAGTGGACACATTTGTTCACAAGTGATGCTCCAAAGGTGTATGAGGAGGAAGTTCAAAGTTTCTATGCCGACCTCTTCAAAGTTGAGGATGATCACATCTACGTGTTGGTGAATGTAGTTGATATGGTAATGGACTCTGCTTTGTTGGGATCTATTCTGGGTGTGCCTGCTGAAGGGTTGTCTAGTGCTCAGGGATCTTGTTCTCAAAATTTTAGAAATGCCATCCTGAAGGACAGAGCAGTTCAACAAGGGGAACATGTACAGAAGAAGGCCCTCCTTCCAGTGTACCAACTGCTATTTGAGATGGTGAACAAGGTCTTGCTCCCTCGTGCTGAGAGAAGATCTATCACTTCTCGTGCAGACCTGTTCCTCATGGAAGCACTGGACAACTTCACTACCATCAACTTTCCTGGGATCATGATAGAGCACATGCAGAAAGTGGCAGATTTTAAAGATGGTAATCATGGACTGCCTTATCGGTTCCTTCTCACCAAGGTCTTTGAGTACTTCAAGGTTCCTCTGGGACAAGCTAAAGTGAGCACTAAGAAGCAAACTTTCTCCAAGTCCACTCTGGAAGATTATGAGTGCATTGATAGGGCTGGAGGAATTGGAAGCACTTCTACCATTTCTCAGTTGATCAACGCTCAGAACAGTGCTACTGCTGAGATAAGGTAGTTGAAAGTAAGGAATGCTATTCTTGAGAGTCAGTTGAGTCAGCTTCAGGAGGCACCTGGTTCCAGTATCCCTCAAAGTGAAGAGGTTGCCCTTCTAACCAAGGAGAATGTTGCGCTCAAGAAACAGGTGGAGAACCTGAAAGCGAAACTGCTCAATGAGCAAATGTCAGCGAATGATCGAATTGATCTTGTCCTCCAAACCCTTGCCTCTGCCTTCTAAGCCCTCTCTTTCCAGTGCTCCTTAAATAGTGTCCCCTCAGTGTCAAGTCTTAAGTATTGGTTTCCTATGATTAGTTTTTTTTATGATGTTTGTGGTATTTGTTTTTGTTGTTCTGAATTGTGGATGGTTGTAAGTAACATTGACTCTGCTCCCTGTTTTTCAATCCAAATTGTTTAATGAAAGATTTTACCTTTTTGTTATATATGCCTTGTCTTTATGCTCTGTTTTTAGCCATGTTGTGTGCACACAAGTGGCATGAGTTAACTCAAGCTAAACTTCTTTCTGCTATAAGCCTGTTACTAATCTTTTTATGATGCCAAAAAGGGAAAAAATAATTCAGGGGGAACAAGGATGGGAAACAGATTCAGGGGGAAGTCAGAAAATACTGGTTCTTAGGGGGAAAATGCTGGTTCTTAGAGGGAACTTGAATTATATGTTTGTCATAATCAAAAACGGGAAAATTGATAGGCTATATGTATATCCCTGTTATATTTTGATGATATAACAAACTTACTGTCAAGAACCAGATAAAGAACCTGTTAAACATTCTCAAGACATTAAGATCAAAAGGTTCCAGCTTGGGATATTGTTCAACTCTTCAGCGTCAAAGGAATAATAGAGGGAACATATAACTACCGTTTCCCGAGGAAGCTGCACAAGTCAACAACCCTAACTATAAATTTGTTGCCTGCACACGCTACAGTGCAGAAACAGTGCAGCAGTCAACTTTATGGGAAGTGTCTTTTACCTACCTTGCTTACATCATCCTAGTGATGTCGCAAATGTATTATTAACATCATGGAAGGTAAAATAAATCACTTGAACACTTAGAGAATTTACTCAAGCACACTCACTGTGATTGATCATCAAGAAAACGATTCTCAAGTGCATCAAGAACAAAGAACAACACTACTACGGACCAGTTCCCCATATCAAGTTATTGTATGTCCTTAGTTGAGTTGTAACTTTGTAATAGTTCTTCAATTGTAATTCCTACTTAGCTTGTTTGGAAGCATTCCGTAGGAAACCCTTTATAAATCATAAACCCTTGTGTGTGTATCTTGGCTAGAGTTAGTTGAGTTGTAAAGTCTTTATAATAGAATTATTATAAAATGGCTTGTAATAGTATGTTACAAGTTAGTGAGGGATTAAGAGGTTAATTCCTAAGTTGCATATGTCGTAATCTGAAAGTTGCTCAGTAGTGAAGTTGAAATCCTACAAGGGTAGGTCGTGGTTTTTAATCCCGTTGAGCTGAAAATTTTCCATGTAAAAACTCTCCGTGTTATTTACTTTCTGCTGTGTTTGCATAATCTATGGAAACCGATAGAGAACATGGTTCTCTATAGTGCTTGGTGGACCCTAGAATTCTATCAAATTTGTATCAAAGTTATGCCCCGCCCGCATAACTTGCGAACAAGACAAGTTTTGTCAATCTAACAAGGTTTGTATACCAAGTTATGCCCCAAAGCTATTTCACTCAAATTCCTTAAATGGGGACAAATTTTAAATTGCGACACCGATGATACTGTTGGGGAGAAGAAACCCCATCCTAATTCTAAGTTTCATGGAGTTTTGCCTAGAGATGGAGAAAAGGGGTGAAGAAGAAGATGGCCTAGAAGCTTCCTTGTTCCGACCAAATGTGTTATGTTCGATATAACCCATGTTATACTCAGCTCAATGTTTAAAATACGTGGAAGAGTCTCAGCCCTTGGATCAACTCATGATGGATTAATTATACACCATCAGGTAGTTTTAACACTAGAACCTTCCTTCTCTCACGTGACTAACATGTGAGGGAATATAGTTAGTTGTATAGAGAGAATGATTCTGTTATTAGTAGGCAAATTAGAATAGGACAACTGTGCATAGTCTTCTCTTTCCTGTTATTCTTTATTTTTTTAGATGTAAGTGTATATATACATGTACAATAATAGTGATGAAATACAACAGAGAAAATTTTAATTAAATCTATTCTTTAATTCGTATATGGTATCAGAGAAATAAGCTCGATCCAATAGTTCAACCATCAAATTCATTTACATCAGATTCATCTTCATAATCAGTAATCTAAAATGCCTGAAACAACCATCACATCTACTGATGATACGAGCAATGTTGTAAAGCCAATCAGCTATGATGTCAATCACCTTTATCATCTCAACAATTCTGATTCACCTGGGATGACTCTAGTCAACATTGTGTTTGATGGAAGAGGATACCCAGGGTGGAGGAGATCTATTCTCCTATCTTTGTCAGCCAAGAAGAAGCTTGGTTTCATCAATGGAGCTTATCGATCTCCAAATCTGAAATCTTTGGATCATGAACAATGGAGCTGTGTCAATGATATAGTCATCTCTTGGATCCTAAATGCTCTCTCAAAGGATATTGTAGATAGTGTGATATACTACAAAATTGCAAAAAAGCTTTGGGACAGCGTGGAGCAGAGATTTGAAAGATCAAATGGAGCCAAGCTTTATCATCTGCAAAAGGATCTATCAGGATTAGTACATGGTAATAGTGACATTGCAGGATACTTCACTAAGCTCAAACGACTGTGGGATGAACTAGATGCTTTGAATGTTATCATATGTTGTTTATGTGTTTGTGCTTGTGAAGGGAAGGCAAAGTTGACTAAGTCACTTGAGGATTAGAGGTTGATTCAATTCATAATGGGATTGAATGACATCTATGCACAGGCAAGATGAAATATTCTCATGATGAACCCTTTGCCTACCATAGATGTTGCTCATTCACTTATTTTGCAAGATAAAAATCAAAGAAAAATTTATCAAATTCACACTTTAATTCTGACTCAGTTTTATTCATGAAAGTTGGAGAGGCCAAGCAGCCTAATACTCAGCTTCTGGCTGACTTTGCAACCTTTATGGTCACAGGACAGGGCAGGAATTTTCATAAACTCAGAAACCAATCACAAAGAGGTGCAGTCATAGCACCTAAATATAACAATTCAGGTCAAAAGTTTGGTAAACCTCAGTAGATGTTTAAAGAAAAGAAGAAGTACAATCCAAATGTATCTTATACTTATTGTGGAAAGACATGACATACACAAGAAGACTACTATAGAATCATTGAATTTCCAGATAATTTTGAGTTTGCTAATCACAAAGGTTATCAGAATCAAATCAAGGAAAATGCAGTCTTAACACATGAGGAACATGAGAATTCAGGAGGACAAAGCAATGAATACAACAACACCAACTTTGGGCAGCAACTCAACAAGGAACACATTGCAGAAATGATACACATGTATAAGCAGGAAAAGTTAGCACATGCAAGACTATTCTAAAATGCTCAGGTTCAGTGTTTAGTAGTCTAAAATCAGACACCTGGATCATTGATTCAGGTGCTTTAGAGCACATGTATTTTGATCCTAATTCTTTTCTGTTTCTAACTCCACTTCCTGTACCTTTGAACATCAGTTTACTTAACTCTTTTAAGGTGATTGTTACTCATATAGGAAGTATCTCTATTATGCCAGGTTATATCTTGAACAATGTGCTACATGTTCTAGATTTCAAATACAATTTATTGTCAGTTCATAGGTTTTGTGTTCAGTTCAAATATGATGTCCTATTCACATCTATTAGGTGTGTGTTGCAGGGCTTTTCAATGAAGAGTCCACAGGTTTTTGGTGAAGTTAGAGAGGTACTCTACATATTAGAACCAAGTCATCTTAAGTCAAAGGGTCTGTTCAGTAGTAATGTACTTTCAATTCCGAAAGGAAGAATTTCTATTTCGGAGTCTATTTCTTTTTCTAGTCCAGTTCATGTTAATGCTACTCCTAATGTTAAGCTTTGGCATGTAAGATTTAGACATATCCCATTTTTAGCAATGAAACATTTAGATTTACTTCATTATGAGTCAAACTCTGAATTTATTTGTGATGTTTGTTCTAAGGCTAAACAAATCAGGAATCCTTTTCCTGTCAGTAGCATCAAATCCAAACATATTTTTGACCTTATACATGTAGACATATAGGGCCTTTATAAGTTCAATACCTATAATAGATTCAAATATTTTCTTATTATAGTAGATGACTATAGTAGAGGAACATGGACATTCTTATTAAGTACTAAAAACAATACTTTTCTTATGCTTAAATCTTTTTTGTCTGTGGTTGAAAGGCAATTCAATGTGAAAGTCAGAATGATAAGATCTGACAATGCACTAGAATTGGGGTAAGCACACAAGAGGCGGCCTTTCTACATTTAGAAGGAATTCTGCACCAACTGTCTTGTGTAGCAACTCTGCAACATAATGAGATTATTGAGAGGAAGCATAGACACCTTTTAGAGATTGCAAGAGGGTTAATGTTCCAATCCAGGCTGCCTATGTCATATTGGGGTGAATCTATTTTGATTGCCACACATCTTATTAATAGCTCTCGAAGTGGATGGTCTTGAATATTTGTCCCGTTTGCCTCATGGGCAGAACTTCAACTTTTAAAAATATTGTCCCTCGCTTGCCCCATGGACAACACTTTTAATTTTTGACCTTGAAATTCTATCTATGGAGCAAACAAGGGAGCGGGGGAAGGGGGAAGGAGAGGAGAGTCAAAAGTTAAAGGCCATCCCAAAAAGTATCATATTTGTGCAATTGTTTCGGGGCAAATCACCCTTTATTCTTCTGTATCATCATTGTTATTCATATCTGGTTGCTACTTTTGGGGTCTTGTATTTAGATGCTGGCCACTTTCTAAAAAATTAGATTTGTGACCTGAACATTAATTTTGAATTTTAAACTTTAGATCAAGTGTTTTATAGACCGGTGGTTAGATCGGCCATGTTGTATGGGGCTGAGTGTTAGCCAGTTAAGAACTCACATATTCAGAAGATGAAAGTAGCAAAAATAAAAATGTTGAGGTGGATGTGTGGGCACACTAGGATGGATAAGATTAAGAATGAAGATATTCGAGAAAAGGTGGGCGTAACTCCCATGGATGACAAGATACGGGAAGCGAGGCTCAGATGGTTCGGACACGTATAGAGGAGAAGTCCAGATGCCTCGGTAAGGAGGTGTGAGCGGTTGGTGTTGGTGGGTACAAGGAGAGGTAGATGGAGGCCTAAGAAGTATTGGGGAGAGGTGATCAGGCGGGATATGGCGAGGCTTCAGATATCCAAGGACATGGCCCTCGATAGGAAGTTATAGAGGTCGAGCATTAAGGTTTTAGGTTAGGAGGTAGTTGAGCATATTTTTAACTCGTACAAGTGTGAGGCTAGTGTGATAGGACTTAGACTGCTAGTGGTCAATGTTGTATTCACACTACTCTTCCATTTTTATAGTGTCGGGCCTTATTTACTGGTTATTGTTTGATTTCCATCTATTTACTGGTTCTTGTGATGTTGTTATTATTTCTATAGTTTTTGTTGATGGTACTGATATATTGTCTCTTTTCGTCTTCTTAAGCCGATGGTCTATTGGAAACAGCCTCTCTACCCCTTCGGATAGAGGTAAGATCTGCATATACACTACCCTTGTGGGATTTTACTGGACCGTCATTGTTGTCGTAAACTTTAGACCAAGTGACTACTTTCGAACTTAAAAGCATTTATCTAATTTTGAGAAAGTGACAATTGAGGTTAAGATACGATACCAAGTTTGAGATGTTAGATATAATATTTGGTTAGCATTATTGAGTGCCTCCATAAGTTTTATGGGTGTTAAGGAAGTCTTTTATGCAGAGTACAATGCAATACGAGCAAACAAAGAAGCGTTTACACTATTCAAAATGTAATCGATGTAGTAGGTTAAATATCATAGTCATTTTTTAAATAATATAATCGATAGTCATTTACATAATTGAAATAGTTTTCACTTTATTAAATCTTATTTTTGCGCGGAATCAATATCTTTAATGTATAAAAGTGTTAAAAGAGAAATATATATTTTTATCCGCTTCAAAAAATAATAACCGACAAGTTTTTTTTTTGTATGTATGTGTATTATATACAAAAAATAAACATATTTTATATGTTTTTTGGGCTAATAAATACGATTAGTTTTGGCCTGTATTTTGTCGAAAATGAGGTACAGTCAAACCTCTCTATAACATCGTCATTTGTTCTGAATATTTTTGGATATTATAACGAAATGTTGTTATAGAGAGCATATATTATAACATAACATAAAAATTTGTTACGAAAAAACTTGGCTTTTATAGTGAATTATTGTTATATAAGTCTCACCGTATATATTACTACATGCTTCTTTAAACCCAAACTAATTTACAATAGGCCCCTCAGCCCCTCCTCTTTTCTCCAACTCAGCTCTGCGACTCTGCCGCAAGAGTCACTTTCTTCTGCTGCTTCTTTTTCTCCATATGGCTTTTCACAAATAGCACCATCTGCTAGTACTCCTTCATTTAACATTACCCATTTGGCCATTTTCGCAAGTTCTTTCCTTTTGGAGTTTAGAAAAGTACTCCTTTTGGCTTTGAATCATTTGGGTTAAGTTTCAATGGGACCCATAATAAGGAGGTTAAAGAGGAAGAAGAAGGCATACACGGATGTTGACCAATATACCCCTGTTAGTTCTCTGTTGTCTCAACCTTGTCCTTCAGATTGGTGGGACGACTTCTCCAAAAGGATTTCTGGTACAACTTTTAAACACTAAAATTTGAAAATATATATATTTTGTTTCAGTGCATGTAGTTTCTTGATTTGTTCTGTTTCCTTCATGTTATGTCTGATATATGCTGCATTTTTGTTCTCTATATTTGATTGGGGTTGTGTTTGTTTTGGATTCTAGTCGTCTCTTAGTGAAAATTTTGGACGAGGGTCAACTTTGAGTTATATTAAATTGATTTCTGCTCTTTTATATTCTGGGCGGTTTTAGCGAAAGATTGTTACAATATAACATGAAAACAGGGCGGATCCCGTTCAATAGCTACTTTTTCCGAACCTAGTAGCTTTTGTGTAGAGTTGAACCCATAAACTTAAAATCTTGAATACGCCTGTGCATGAAAATTACTCGAAAGAAAACTTAACCAGTATAGTAAATTATTGTTATAAAGCATTAGTTTTATAAAGAAGTTTGACAAGATTTTATACCGTAATTATTTTTTAATATACCAAACCAAACACTCGTTATACTCGTTTAAGGGGGACAATTTATATTGAGATTATAATGTGATATTATAATTTGTGGATTAAATAAATGACATGATTAATAATAGATATATTTTTATCGGTACATGTTTGGTTCATTTTGACTAAAAAGAGATATACGACGTAAAAAAAAAAATGATTGGTTTTACACTAGATAACTTAAATAATTTTTTTATTTTTAATTTTAACCTTGTTTTGGAAAGGGCTTTGAGAAAAAAGCTTTGGAGAAGGTCATCTTTGTCACTTTATTATTGTATCCCGGGATTGATAAACCCCTGATGATATCTTACATGTGTGTGGTATAAAAAATAATACCACAATTAATGTATAAACAATCCCGTGATTCTTTATACCGAGATAAAAAATTCAACCCAAATAAAATAATCTCATATTTTATCTCAAAATTATTATCGCCTGTCCTCATAGCCAAACGACCCTAAAGTTGTTTGATTCATAGCAAATGATAGTAATTTAGGGATTAGTTATATCATAATTTTGGTATTAGTTTTATACCATATTTAATG